GACCCCTACATAATGATAAACAAAACCAGATTCTCAGAGTTAAAAGGGACTTCATGGTACCTGATTTAAATATTTTCTTCTATCTCTTTCTCCGAGCTCTTTATCATTCCATCCAATTCTTGGTTTGCTCCCTCCAAGCTCAAGGAGGCAGGCTAATTTGTCAGAGCAGATGACCAAATCGCTAAATTAGTGAGATGCCCTGCCTCTTTATCTCATCACTGCAACCACCCCCACTCTCGCCCTGCCACTAATGTAGCCAATCAGTTGCTGCTAACTTTCCCAAACTGAGTAGTTTAAGAATTATGATCATAATTTTCAGTGATTTAGTGACTTGGGATAAATTACCTAGAGCCCAGAATTGGGCAACTCATTAGCCTTAGGGTAGCCTGATACATTTTCCCAGGAAGTAACTTGAAACCTGTCCTGCTGCTTTTTCTCCTATCACTGGGGCTCCTGCAGCAGCTAAGAACCCTTCAGCAAAGGTACAGATGGTAGGGTATTCACTGGCCACAATTTTTTAGAAGGTATGTTTCTCTTTAAAATCCTTCAACAGTCTTATATCATACCCTATTCATTTATTCTCTTCTCTCAGGGCATTTCTTGAGACCTGCCCCTAGGTGCTCTTAGGTTCTGCAATTACCCCCCATTCTTTTTCCATTTCAACATAAAATTTATTCCTTTACATTTAGCAAGAAGCCAATCTGGTCAGACTACAGAAAAAAACTAAGGATTAACAAATCTGTGATTTAGTTTCAGATACCAGTAAGTACTGTCTCTTCAAACATCTTTTACATTCATACTGATACTGCTTTCTATATGTACTGAAAATGTAACTGCTTTTGGTATCAAGAGTTATGAGCTTGGGACTTTGGGGTTCAATATATTCTGACATGAATCCTAGCCTTACCACTAAATAGTTGATAGTTGTATGTCCTTGCTGGTTATGTTGCCTCCCTAAGCCTCAGCTTCTCCAAAAAGGAAGAGGCAAACAGAACACTGGTAGCAGTGCCCCACAACCCCTAATGCCTTCCTCTGGCATGGGAGGAGACCACACCATAAATCTGCTTTCTCTCTCCTTACTGCAACCATATTTTCTACATTTGACCCCAGAAATGCTGAGCTACCAAGTAAAGGTAATAGTAATTACAGTAATTTATGGAAACTGCTTATCATTTAAGCCTTAATTACCATGCAGCACAATAACAATTATGCAAGCCATTAAATGTGTCAGACTCACTTTGCTGCATGTTTTATTTGATTTTTAATATTAACATCTATTCACATAGGCTCAGTTTGTAGTTCACACAGCATGTGCCTCCTTACAATTAAAAAAAAATTAGTGGGAACAGTGCCTAGAAGGGAAAATCAGGCACCTAAGGGAGAAATGAAAGAAGTAATTTGTTTCAAAGGGCTATAAATATAGTCACTTCTCTTATCTCTCTCCTTATTGGCAGGATGGGAAAGGAATATTTCCATTTCTAGATTTCTTTGGAGAATCTTATTGGCTCAGTTTCTTTTTGCACCAGAACGTAAGTAGAATGCTGCCAGCTGATAGATTAACTTTTCTCAGTCAAGTGCCTATCTCTTGGTCCAGTAACTACAGTTGAAGAGTAGGGGGACTGGGTCATGTGATAAAAAAATTCAACCTCTTGTTGGTTTGGATTCTCTGAAAGACACCGAAAAGGGATTAGAAGTGCTAAAATGTTTTAAATCTGACTTTAGAACTATAGCAAAAACTTAAGATAGCCAAGGTGGAATTCTTCACAGATTTCCCTTGATGTATAACAACATTCCTAGGAATAAAAGCCAAAGTTGGGCATATAGTTTGGTTGCTAATTAGTAAACGTAACCTTTTAGTGTTGACGTCCACTAATTTGCGACTTTATAAGAGGGCTGTAAGATTCCAGTGAAGGGGAAGAGGTACAAAAACAACTCAAGATTTATCCACTACTAGAAGTAGGGAAATGTGCTGATAAATCTTCATATATATGGCCCATTGTAATGCCAAGTACAGTCACTCTACCTAGAAGCTCTTGCAATGAGCCCAGCCACTGGAACAACACCCTCTCTCCTAAACAGCTCGTTCTTTTATCTTGAACTTGTAGCTGCAGGAAGCAAGCCTATGAAGTGAGAGGAAGAGGACACCCAACCAGCTTAGACATTTCCATCTAGCCCAATAGTCAATGCTCACACACTTGCTAAGGGAACCTAGAGAGTTCCAACTTTTAAAATTTTTAAATAAATGCCAAGATGTTAGCGAGATCTGGATCTTTAAGGTAGGTTTCTGGGTACAGCTACTCTTCCTTTTTAAAACCAGCATAGTCCTGCCCTCACAATTATCCCCTACCTCCCTATTCACAGCAAATGTTCTTGCTTCCTTAGCCAGAGTTAAGAATCAGACAGGAACTTCTGCAGTCTTCTGCTGCTGTTACTACCAACCCAATCCCCAAACAACCCCAAAGAAATGCTACACCCTTCCTTTCCTCTTACTAGAGAGGACGGTTACTTCCTTTCCTTTGCTTCTCATTCCCTCTATGCTCCTTACAGCTTTATCAATTAGTCCCTTTTCCCCTTATCTCTTCAATAATTCCTCATTCCATTTGATTCTGTCCCACAAAACTTAATCATGATTAATTTCTTGTACCCTAAGAAGGGAAAAACAGAAAAGCTAAAACTTTACTTCATCCTATGTCTCTGGAGCTATCCCACTATTATTATTCTTTCTCTTTGGAAGTAGCTTCCTGCAAGAATTTTCATGTCAAATCTTCATTTCCTCACCAAATAGCCACTCTTCAATTCTTTACAATACAGTTGTGGTGTTTTTTTTCTTTGGTCAAATCTAACAGATGCTTATTCTTTTCTTCTAGTTGAGCATTCCTTCCTGATAGAAGTACTCCTTTTCCTTGATTACCATATTACTCTTCTCTGGTTTTTCTTTCTCTCCTTTAATTTCTCCTCCTCTTCCTTCACAGACTGTTCCTTCTTGTGTGCTCCCCTTCAATGTTATCAACCCTGTTCTGGGTCATCTCATTTGTTTCTATAACTTTAGCTATATCCTCACGTGTTCAAGATCCAGCCTTTATTCTCAACTCACTGCTGAAATGAATCCCAATATGTAAACTCCCTACTGGACACTCTTCTTTGTAGCCCACAGGCACCTCAAATTCAGTATGCCAAGAAAGGGAACTCATTATCTTTACCATGAGGCTGCTCCTCCACTGAGTTCCCCAGCTCAGTTAATGGCAATACAGCTCAGTTAACTGTCCATGTCAGATTCCTGGCCATCAGGGCTGGCCTCCTGCCCCCATTTAACAAGATACCAAGTCTTCAAGCTATTCCACTACAAATGTTTCAAAAATCTTGCTTCTCTAGCTTTAGTGCTACTGCCAGAATTTATTGAGGTAATTCATCCAAGAATCTACTGGTTATCTATTAACTCTTTCCTAAATTACTGAACAGTCTCCTAGATTCTATTTTGACCCCCTCTATTTTCCAGTTTGCATCCTGAGTAATCTTTAAAAAAAAAATACCCTCATTAAAACCCTTTACTGGATCTTCATTTTCAAGATAATGTCGCATTTTTTTAACAGCCTATA